AGCTTTTAAGACCCCAGATGCCACTCACCAAAGTAGGATGCAGAATATTTTCTTAATAAACTTTGTTATGCCAATTGACCTAGATGTCCCCTGAAACCATGGTCCCCAGACCCCCACCCTGCTACTGTGTCCCTCCAAGTGTTTGGTTGTATTCAGGAAACTTGTTAGCTTTGGTTTAGTCCATTTGTGCTGACTTCCCCTGTAGTGTGTGCTGTCCTTCCCTTCACCTAAGATAATTCTTGTCTACTATCTAGTTAGTGAATAACACTCTCCCTCCCTCCCCACCCTCAAAACCATCAAAGAATGTTTTCTTTTGTGTTTAAACCGTTTCTTGAGTTCTTATAATATGTGTTATACAATATTCTTTTGTGACTGACTAAATTGACTCAGCATAATGCCTTCCAGAGTCCTGGATTCATCGTTGTTCTTTATTGTCGCATAGTATTCCATTGTGTGAATATACTATAATTTGTTTATCCATTCGTCCATTGATGGACACCTAGGTTGTTTCCATCTTTTTGCTATCATGAACAGTGCTGCAGTGAACATGGGTGTGCATATATCTATTCGTGTGACACCTCTTATTTGTCTAGGATATATTGCAAGGAGCAGGATTGCTGGATAGTATGGTACTTCTAATTATAGCTTTTCAAAGAAACACCAAATTGATTTCCAAAGTGGTTGTACCATTTTACATTCCCACCAACAGTATATAAGTGTTCCAGTCTCTCTTGTGTTTTTTGGATTAATGCTAGCCTTGTTGGGGTGAGATGGTATCTCATTGTAGTTTTGATTTGCATTTCTGTAATGGCTGCTGATTGTGAGCATTTCTTCATGTGTCTGGTAACTGCCTGAATGTCTTCTTTCGTGAAGTGCCTGTTCATATCCTTTGCCCATTTTTTAAATGGATTATTTGTCTTTTTGTTGTTGACATTTTGCACTATGTTGTAGATTTTAGAGATTAGACACTGATTGGATTTGTCATAGCCAAATTTTTTTTTCCCCGTCTGTAGGTTGTCTTTTGATTCTTTTGGTGAAGTCTTTTGATGAGCATAAGTGTTTGATTTTTAGGAGCTCCCAGTTATCTAGTTTCTCTACTGGTGTTTGCACATTGTTACTTATGGTTTGTATTCTGTTTATGCCATGTATTAGGGCTCCTAGGGTTGTCCCTATTTTTTTTCCATGATCTTTATCGTTTTTGATTTGATGTTTAAGTCTTTGATGCATTTTGAGTTAGTTTTTGTGCATGGTGTGAGGCATGAGTCTTGTTTTCATTTTTTTGCAGATGGATATCCAGTTATGCCAGCACCATGTTTAAAGAGACTGTCTTTTCCCCGGTTAATGAACTTTGGGCCTTTGTCAAATATGCTACACTTTACTTTTTGAAAAAAAATTATGAAATTTTATACAGAAAAGCAAGTAATATGTTCATATATTCATATATATGTAATCGTCTCAAAAGTAACAAGCACCATGTACTGCTCTCCGAGTATTCCTCAAGGAATAATCTGTTACAAATACTCTTTAAGCTCCCAAGGTGCCTCTCACTGATTCTGTTACAATTCGTTTTTCATAAGCAGTTTGGATGACTTTTTTTTTTTTTTTTTTTTT